CTTCCTCCATTTCGGCTTTATCACGAGTGAGTGTCTCAATCGTGTGTCGTAAGTTCACTACCTCCAATCCATTTCGGCTTTATCATGAGTGAGTGTCTCAATCGTGTGTCGTAAGTTCACTGCCTCCTGTTGGACTTGATTCACGTTCACGTCGAGTACTCGTTGTTGAATCAACATCTCTATATCTTTCTCCTCTCTCACTAGCTCGTCCACTAGAGCATCAATCTTCATTAACAGGTCATTCTCTTTCTTCACATCTTCTTCAACTTTCTTCACAAGTTCAGAGATTACCAGATCATTCTCTTCCTTCTCCTGTTTGAGATAGGAGAAACTCTCACTCAGCTCACCAATTTTCTTCTCTAACCTTTCAACCTTTATTTCTAACTCTTTCTTTTCTTCTTCCATTTTCATACTCTTTCTTCCATTGGAGCTCTCTCTCTTCGAGCTTGGGCTCTCTATTATTTGGTTGTTCATCTTTCTTCGATTTTCTCGTCTCCGCTATCAAGATTTTGCCACATCCACTGCACATCACCTCTTCAAAGATGATATTTTCAGCGTCTGCCAGAAGACATACAAGATGTACCTCATCTGTTGAGTCATACAAATCTCGTAAAATTCGCATTTTGGGTTGTCGTGGTTCATTTTCATCATCGAAAATTTCTGAGTCTGTTGGTGCACTTGTTAATGTAGCGACTGATAATTCTCCAACTTCGATATCGACTTCCATTGAATTGTTCCATTCCCATTCGCTTGCTTCATTTACTCGCACATCGCGACTCACTATCACCATCTTGCTAACAGGTAAGGTAGTTTGTATCATTTTGTCTTCTCATCATATTCAATAAAGATATACCTTTTGCTTTTGTCTTTAAGCTTCATTCTTCGTGGATGCGGTACATGAGCATAAGCCACACTACCGAACACTTTGAGATGAGAGATTGTAGGCTTTTGTCTGCTCCAAGCCTCTTGTGGTGTTCGATCATCTAACTTCACATGTGGACATCGATTCTGTACGTCGATGGCGCATTGCACGGCTTCTACCCAAAATTCCTTCGACATCTTTTTTTTCTTGAGCATTGAACGAACCATGTCGAGAATGGTCCGGTTCTTTCTCTCGGACACACCATTTTGTTGAGGGGTGTAGGGTGCGGTTAGAAATTGACTTATGCCTTGCTCCTCGCAGTACTCCATGAAAGCCATTGAACTATACTCGCCACCTCTATCAAATCGTACAGCTTTGACGTGTCTACCAATTTCTTTCTCCACCATTACTTTGAACTTTTTGAACACCTCGAATGCCTCGGATTTTCCTTTCAGAAAGTAAGCCCAAGTTTTTCGTGAGTAATCATCGATAAAGGAAATGAAATACCTCTTTCCACTGAAGGACTCGAGGTTAATTGGTCCACATATATCTGTATGAATCAACTTGAGAGGTTGTTTAGCCCAAAATTCAGCCTTCTTTTGAATTGAGGTTCTCGCATTCTTGCGGAGCATGCATTTTTCACAAAATTTTCCTTCAAAGTCCATGTTTGGTAGCCCATATACCATATTCTTCTTCGCTAACTCCTTTAGGCCACCATGATGTAGGTGACCAAAGCGGAGATGTCACAGTGATGCCTTGTCTTCTACGTCGACTCGCAAACACTTTTCTCGTATGCTTCTTAAGTTCAATTTGTACATCCGATTTCTTCCTATCTCGACTCGAGCAACCAAACGCCCTTTCTTATCCTTCAGGTGTAGCAGGCGGTCCTTTAGGACTATCGAGTAACATTTCTCTATGAGTTGCCCCATACTCAATATGTTGGTCTTGAGGTCTGGTACGTAATAAACATCTTAGATTGACCCCATTACACCATCCTTTTGCAAGAAATGTATCGTACCTCGACCTTTGACCTCCACCTTTGCGCATCTCCAAATGACACATGACCATCTTCAATCTTTTGAATTTCTTTGAATAGGTGCTCGTGACCGCACATATGGTTGATTGCCCCTGAGTCGAGGTACCACAGAGTGTCGTTGTAGATGTTCTCTTCATCTTGAGCCATCAAGAGAAGACCTTCATCTGTTACGTTTTCCACGGCTAGGTTGGTTGTTCCTTCCACCCTTTTTCCAGCTCGACAAGCTTTCGCAACGTGCCCCATTCTGCCACAATCATTTTTCGGAGTTACAATCATTTGCATAATGACCATATTTTTTACAATTATCACACTGAATGTTTGATCGGCTGCCTCTTCCTGGACTGTGTCCTCTTCCACGCCAATTTACTTAGCTCGATAGTCTCTTTTCATTATAGATTTCTTCATTACTGTTGCCTTGACTACCTCGACCATTCCCACGACTTCCTCAACCTCTACCTTGAATATTTTGAGAGTAGAGTACCTTTTCATCCTTTTTTATGCTTTGGTTTGAAGTGCTTGATTGAGTGTCTCCTCCTTCTTTTTCTTACATTGTTCATGTGCCTCGAGAGAACTGGCGAGCTCATCAACCGTGAACTTTGCTAGGTCCTTTGACTCTTCTATCGCACATACAACATTCTCGAAGTTGTTGGTTAACGACCTCAAAATCTTCTCCACAACCCGCGTCTCGAGTACCATTTCTTCATTTCGATTTAGTTGATTTGCCACGGTTTGTATGCCCGTAATGTAGTCAGATATTTTCTGACTCCTTCATTTTCATGCTCTCCAACTCGCCACGCAGAGTCTGGAGACGCACTTGCTTGACTCGGTCAGTTCCTTTGAACACTTTTTCTAAAGTATCCCACGCTTCTTTTGAATTAGTTTCCCTTGCAATCTTCTCAAAGCCCGACTCGTCAACAGCCCGGAATAGCATGTATAATGCTGCATATCCTTTGATTGTAATTCTTTTAGCGCCTTGTTTTGTGCCGCCGTATAATTGGTGGTATCCTTCAGTTCTTCGAAACCTTCTTCGACCACCTCCCATGCGTCTTGAGAACCGAGAAGAGCTTTCATTTGGATGCTCCAATTCTCGTAGTTCGTCTTCGTCAATCGTGGTAGCGACATTGCCCCATCATGTTCGCCATCAGCTCTGATACCAATTTGTTGAAATAACATTCACTCTGATACCAATTGGTTGTAAATAACAATCCGCTCCGATATCAATTTGTAGAAATAAACGCTCGCTCTGAAACTAACTTGTTAAAATAACATTCACAAGGCCGTGAAGGAGATGTCGAAAGGGGAGAGACAAGGAGACAAAGAAATTCTGAAAAGCCATTTTCTATTAGAGTGTACTTAACTATTGCTGTGCTCTTGCTCGCAATGAAAAACTAATTAATTGATAGGTTTTCTAAAATCTAAAATTGGTTATCCCATAACCCACTTTCTCCTATTTTTTTTCTTTGGCCTTTTCCTTATTACGACTCAATTTCAAAAACCTTATTAAAATTAACAAAATTAAAAACTATCTTTTTCTTTTTCATTTAAGTTTATTCCCAACATCCCGTGTAGGCGCTCATTGTACTGTAAGCTAGCCCTAAGAAGGGGCGATGAACCACGTGGGTAGACTTAGTAGTTAGCAGGCACGTAGGTTTCCTCACCTATACGTTAATTGTATAGTATTTCCTGTTGAAGGATTCCTAATCAACCTTACACAAATGTGTTTAGATGAGACGACATATTGTCCTATGAGATATGATGAGGTCGCGCATCAACTCAAAATATTGGTTGTTCACTATTGTGACAATGGAACCTTTACGAAACAGAAAATTTGGTCTCTTAGAGATGAGGTACACCATCTAGTAGATCCAGAGTATGATGACCTGATGAACCGTTTTCAAACTTTGATAGGGTTGTGAAATGTTCGAGAACCGTTCGGAACTTCAAAAGTCCCTCGTATGTTTAAAAGAATATATTATATTATTTTCCACCCAAAAATAAAATCATATCACTCATAGAAACAAACTAAACAATCAAAGAGAATCCGAAAAAGCAAGAATTGGTGAAGAAGCAAAGAATGTTGTATCATAAAAACTCAAACCAGCTTGCACTTCCAAAACTCGTTATGATTTTTGCTCTTCTTTTTCATACAAAACCTACCTTCTCCTCCTTCCTTATCATGAAAGAGTTTCTTCTACGCAACCTTCTTCAATTAATACCTTCGCCTACCACCAACAACCTTACCTTCTTTTTCATTTTTCTCGACACGATATCGTCCTTTGAAATTATCTACTCGGTTATATTTAGATCTGTAATTCATTTATCTATATATTAATTAACTAGTTAACATTTATCTCATTTGTTTGAATGTTTTTACGATTTTATTCAAGGGTGTTCAAAAAACCCGATCAATCAAACTCAATCCCTATGATTTGGATTGAGTTTAAATAAAAGAAAATTTTATGGGTTTAGGGTTTAACTAGATTTGATTGACTTGAACCCGTCTGAATTTGTTGTTAGCTTTGGACATACATTTTTACTTACGATACAATAATATATACATATATTTATTTAGTTTTAAAAATATTTTTATAATTATTTATTCTCCAACAATTTTTTAAAATAATTTTTAATTATTTTGGAAGGTAAATTCCCAAAATATATATTCAAATTGTGTGGTAAATCTTAATTAAATGTTTGAATATAAATAAATATTTTACAAATTAATATTTTACTCTTATTAAACAAAATTAAATAAACGACGAACCAACCCAACCCAACCCAACCAACCCTCTAATTTTATTTATGACATCTTTAAGTTCTCCCTTATGTGTTTTTAGTTCCTAAATACTAAAATTGGCGTTTTTATGTTCTTGGTTTGTTTATTTTTCTAAATTTCTTTTAATTCAGTCGCTATAACATGTCATGGAAGCTCATAATCAATGTCATTTATGTTTGAGCACGCCGCTAGGTATCTATTATCATCTCAAAAGTCACACGTTTGATTTATTAATACAAATTAAACCCAAAAAAAAATAATAATAATAATAAGTAGCCAATTTTTAATTTTAAAAAATAAAAAACCAAAAGAACACATAAATAGGGTATTATTATGGTTCCATTGCCTACTTCCCCAATTTGTATCATCAAAATGGCAACACCCCATCTTCGCACTCAAGTCCCACCCATAGACGACGATCACAAGACCACCACATCGCGATGGCTCGACAACCCGGACCATGGTCCATATCTACTAAAGCTAGCTCGGGACACTATAATTTCGGGCGAGAGTCCAACCAAGGCTTTGGACTACGCATTCCGAGCTGCCAAGTCGTTCGAGAGATTTCCGAGTCCCGGCGTGGAGCTGCCCATGAGCTTGCACATGGTCGCTGCCATTTACTGCCGGCTCGGGCAGTTCGACCAGGCCATTCCGGTTCTCGAGCGGTCCATCGAGGTTGTGGAACGTAGAAACGAACCGGACCATGCTTTGGCAAAATATTCCGGGTACATGCAGCTTGGGGATACTTATTCTATGTTGGGGCAGTTGGATCGGTCCATTTCTTGTTATGAAGCTGGGTTGATGATCCAGACTCATGCGTTACCTGACTCTGACCCTAAAGTTGCTGAGACTTGCAGGTACCACCTTGCTTACTATATATATACACACTAATGGAAACGTGATCTTACATCAGTTAGAGAGGGAAACGAAGCATTTCTTATAAAGGTGTTGAAACCTCTCCCCAACAAACGTATTTAAAACCATAAGGCTGACGGTGATACGTAACGAGCCAAAGTGAACAATATTTGCCAGTAATAGACTTGGACTGTTACAAATGGTATCAGAGTCAGACACCAAGTGGTGTACCAACAAGGATGCTGGATTGTGAGATCCGAAATCAGTTAGAGAGGGGAACAAAGCACTCCTTATAAAACTGTGGAAACCTCTCCCCAGCAGACGTGTTTTAAAACCATAATGCTAACGGTGATACGTAACGAGTCAAAGCGAACAATATTTGCTAGTAGTGGACTTGGGCTGTTACAAATGGTATCAGAGCCAGACACCAAGCGGTGTACCAGCGAGGATGCTGGATTCTGAGATTCCATATCAGTTGGAGAGGGAACAAAGCATTCCTTATAAGGATGTGGAAACCTCTCCCTAGCAAACGCGCTTTAAAATCGTGAGGCTGACGATAATACGTAATGAGCCAAAGTGGACAATATTTGTTAGCGGTGGACTTAGAATGTTATAGAAGCGATAGCAATAGATGAGTAGCTGCAACACAAAGTTCCTTACTTATCAACACTAGAAAATTGTAGGTCGGATTGAATTAATCAAAAGATACGTGCTTAATTTTGAGCAATTCCGTCCTTAAAAAAGACAGCAATGGAACTTATCATAGGTACTTAGCAGAGGCACACGTACAAGCAATGCAATTCGAAGAAGCAAAGAAATACTGCAAGAAAACATTAGACATCCACAAACAACACAGTCCACCAGCATCCCCACAAGAAGCAACCGACCGCCGTCTAATGGCTTTAATTTGTGAAGCATTAGGCGACTCCGAGTCTGCTTTAGAGCATCTAGTTCTAGCCAGCATGGCCATGATCGCCCACGGTCACGACGCAGAGGTTGCCGCAATCGACGTAAGCATCGGCGACATCTACACCACACTCTGCCGTTTCGACGAAGCCATATTCGCATACCAAAAAGCCCTCACAATCTTCAACTCCACAAAAGGAGATTCCCATCTCTCCGTCGCCTCGCTCTTCATCCGTCTCGCCGAGCTCTACAACCGCACCGGCAAGACCCGGGAAGCGAAATCATACGCAGACAACGCGTTGAGGATTTACCTAAAGCCACCAGAAGGGTCGACGGACGAGGAGGTGTCGAGTGGGCTGGTGGAGATCGCTGCGGTGTACGAAGCGGGGAATGAGGCGGAGGAGGCATTCGGGGTACTGCGGAGGGCGGTGAAGGTGGTGGAGAGAGGCGGCGGGGGGCGGGTGGCGGCCGGGATAGAGGCGCAAATGGGGGTGATGTTTTATGTGATGGGGAAGTATGGGGAGGCGAGGAGGGTGTTTGAGAGGGCAATTGGGAGGGTGCGAGGGGGTAAGAAGGGGGCGTTGTTTGGAGTTGTGTTGAACCAGATGGGGTTGGCTTGTGTTCAGCTCTATAAAATTGAGGAGGCGGTTAGGGTGTTTCAAGAGGCCAGGGTGGTGCTGGTGGAGCACTATGGTGTGTATCATTCTGATACTCTTGCTGTTTCTAGCAATCTTGCTGCTGCTTATGATGCCATGGGGAGGTAATGCAACATTATAAGTATAGTGATCGCGTTATACCGGTTTGATCGATGAACGTTGTTTCGGTTCTAAACTTCGGATTTTGTATTGAATTTGAAAATAATTTGGTTGATTATATATGCAGGGTGGAGGAAGCAATTGAGATATTAGAAGACATCCTTAAAGTGAGGGAAGAGATGCTTGGAACTGCAAATCCAGAGGTAGATGAGGAAAGAAGAAGGCTTGAGCAACTGTTAAAAGAGGCTGGAAGGGCTCCAAATAACAAGGCTAAGTCATTACAGAATTTGCTTGCCTCCCAATCCTTGAGGATGAGCGTAGTTTAGTGATAATTGAATTCTACGCTTTTCATGATGCCTTACCCGAGTATCATAAATGGTCGGGCACGTTTTTTTATTATCAAACTCTTGAAATTTGATTTAAACTATTCATGAATCCATCAAATTATAATAATCAATTAACGGGAAGTTTTGGAATGGATTACCTTGATAATCAAGATCAAAAGAAAATGAAACATGTTTGATTCAAATCACTCCACACGAGTTTGGATCAATCTCACTTGAATGACTTTAAAATGCAAATCTAAATACAAAGCGATGAAAGGAACAATCTCATGACTTAGCCTAATATCTCACTTTCATTTTAATATTCAAAATCTTGGTACTAAAACAATAACATGATAGATTATTTATAACTCTTATGCCGGTCAATAGTATTTTAAAATTTTTAAAATAATATTATAAAATGAAGGGTGAAATCTTCCTAAATCTAAATATGTGTGGTACAATCTCGTCATCCATTATGTAGTCTTTGAGGCATGATTAAAGGCATCATATAAACGGAGGGAAAATAAAGATTTTTTTCGTCGTTTTAATAGTTTTTATATCATATAATTTTAAAAAAATATATAAAATACAAATCTATAGGATGGGTTAAAGGTGTACGGGATTCGATTGAGTTGGGCTTGAAAAATCCTATGGATTAATTCTAAATTTTAAGTTGGTTAGGTTAGTGATCCGAACAACTCAAATAAAGTTTACAACTCAACCTAATTCTCTGTTTTCGAGTTGAGTAGTTGGGTTTATTTTTTATTATTATTTATTATTATATTAATAACTAAAATATGATAAAAGATCTCGCTGGTCCGGTCCATCCAAAAATCGCAAATCTTTTCACTCATAAACTTTGGACTTCGAAGAATCAAGCCACGAACGTTCAGTTCAGGAAGCGAATCAGACGAAACCTTCAAGAAAATGCCGGTCATGGAGAAGCTGAAGATGTTCGTAGTTCAAGAGCCCGTAGTGGTTGCATCTTGTCTAATCGGAGGAATTGGTACTTGCTCTTTCCTCTTTAGAGCCCTAATTATCGTTCAATTTTTCATTTCTTTTGATCGATGGTATGAATCCATATGTTTTCTTTAAATTGTCGCTTATATCTATCTATTGGGAAGATCATATTTAAATGTTTTCTTTTCGGGTATTCTATATAGTTTCGGATGCGAAAAAACAATGTCGATTGAAAGCTCCTTTATCTGACTAAATAGATTTTCGTATTTCAACCTTGTTTGTAGGATTCAGCTTTGCCTATATATATTCTGTTTCGGTGTTTCTAGTGACCGTAAATTTGTTAAGATGTTGGGATTTGTTCGTTTAAATGCTTATTAATGTTCGAGATGGGAGTTTTGGACCCTTGAGCCAGCTACCGAAGTGAGCTGCTAGCCCAAGACATACACACCTTTTCAATAGAAATGTACACGCAAGCCAAGATGGCTGAACTATCCCGAGACATAGGATGATATCATGATGCATAGGTTGCATTGTTGGGAACCAAGATGATCACTGAGATGCAATGTTGCACTTGAGAGACCTTGGCGTAGAATAGAGGCAAGGTCAAGCCAAATGACTAGGCCTAGTGTAGAGACAAGTTGACTAGGAGTGTATGTGGTTGAACAAGCTTAGATTCCGCACGAGTTGTGTTCAGTTGATGAAGGAGAATCTCACCTAAGGTCCGATAAAGCCACGAAAACGGGTGAAAATATGAATGAGGCTTGAGCTCCCCTTAAGACTTGTCATGAGAGTGTCAAGATCATAACACTGCACGGTTGAAAATGTACAACCGATAGAGTATAAGAATGAAATAGAGAAATTAAGGATTTACCATTAAAGACGAACTATGGTTCATATACTAAGAATCTACAAAATCTTACAGATAAAATTCAAATTACGTTACGAATATCCTAAGAATTGGGACATGTCTTCACTAAATAGGTTCTCATATCTATGTTGGCCATAACTAGTCATATGTGCTTCCTCTGCCTAATTTAACTATAGTTATAAAAGAAAATGTTGCCCATCACTCAACAATATTAGATGCTCCACCTAGCTTTAGCATCAAGTGTGAACTATCTGGAACTTTTAAACAACACTGAAATGAGGGTTTGAAATAATTGCTAATATAGGTGGCAATGCAAGGGATAAGATTTTATGGAGTTTAGACTCTTGCGGTCTTTCTTCAGTTAAAACTGCTTGTATATTGGGTAATCAATTTCATAATAATTCTGAGGCTTCTTGCTCAGCTGATCAAATGTTGGAAAATTGTGGGGAAAAAGGGTGCTTACTAAGTTGAAAACATTCTAATGGAAAGTTTACAATGTTATTATTCTATTCCTAGCAGTTTCAATTTCAGAAAGAAGGTTTTATAAGTTCATCCTTCACAGAGAAACTATGTCCTGTTCCATTTGGAGATGTTTTGTAAGATAGATTGCGGGAAATTTGTTCCCAGAATTGGATTTAAGTTCCACCGATAATTTAGCATCACTGAGAACTGGGCATCTTCAGCCAATTAGCCCTGTGCTCCCCAACACTCCTAGGATTAGCAACCTACCAGAGTTTGGAGCCACTTACCTGCATATGTTTATACCAACTAGTCACAGGTTGTTAAATGAAACACAATAGCAAATTGATAGGACCCCACCGGCAAGAAAATAACAAATAGAACTATAAGGCAATATGAAAGAACACTTACGGTTAGATCCAACATCGATTGGAGAGAAGAATGAAACATTCCTTATAAGGGTGTGGAAACTTCTCTCTAGCATACGCGTTTTGAAAACCTTGAGGGAAACCTGAAAAGAAAAGCCCAAAGAGGACAATATCTGCTAACGGTGGGCTTGGGCGGTTACAAATGGTATCAGAGCCCGATGCTGAGTGGTGTGTCAGCGAGAATGCTAGCCCCTAAGAAGGGTAGACTGTGAGATCCCACATTGATGGATTGATTAGAGAGGAGAACGAAATATTCCTTATAAGGATGTGGAAACCTTCCTTCGGTGAATCGGGTTGAAAGTGAAAGTCGCTGATTCATCTAGCATTTCCACTCCCTAAGTGTAAAACATAATCAAATTTTTGTACTTCAAAGGGGAACCTCAACTTTCAAATACTAGGTATGACATCACCGCTCAAACTCCAAAACTTCCAGTATTTGGAATTTTAATTTTTATATAGCATGGTTAAAGCTGCATAGGTTTTCTCTAACTTGAATGCAAGCATGGAAACAATCAATCAAATTGATAATCGTGGACATGCATTTGATGAATCTCTGCAACCTTGACCTAAAGTTTCAAAGGTTTCTTTCTTCAACAAATAAGTATCCTTAGCTTTGTTCATCCTTCTTAAAAAGGTACTACATTTGGACTTTTTGTGTTTCTTACCACAATAACCAAAAACTGAACTAAAAGAAAAATGACTTATTTCTTCCCTACAACCAATAAACTCCATTGATTAATATCCATTTTCAACATCTTGATGAAGCAAGAGAGAATGAGAGGTGGAATTACCGCCTTACCTTCTTCATTTTTCATGATAAACTGATATGTGAGATCAAGTCCAATTTTTACGCACTTTTTCGGTTTGATTGGCTACCACATGGAACATATGTGTACATTTTGGTTTCTTACATATTACAAACCTTGTAGGTCTTTTCCTTCCTGCCGTTGTAAGACCAATTCTGGATTCATACGAAGCATCTAAGCAAGCTCCTCAGCCTGTATTAAGTGATGTAAGTACGGAATCTTGACAAGTTTTAGACATTCATTCTTTTCTGATTGTGTGGTTTGGTTGGATCATTTGGGCCAAATGTAAACGTGAGTTTCTTTGCTTATGTCTTGAAGTTTATGTTTCTTTGGTACTTATTATCATTCTCAGCCTCTGGTAAGTGAGATTCCTTGCCACTTTCCAAAAACATATGCCAGCCAGTATCTAAGTGGGGAACAATCAATAAATCTACCCTAAAAAAACCAACAATTTCTTGTTTTTCCCTTTCTTTGATAGGAGGAAATTTTGTACTTTTCTTACAATGTTCATTGTAAATTTCTGTATTGTCAAATTTGTAGGTGGTTGCGAGTATGACTGGAAAGAAATGAGGATGATTGGTATCGGTGACATAAGAAGGTTGTTCTTGATGGATCAATTATCATTCTCTTCTGCCATAAAATAATTCTGTACAATCTTTTTAAACGTCATGGTTGATAGCAATAGTTATTGCTACACATTCACTTGTTTTATGCCCAATGCATAAGACTGATTTTCAAGATATTTCAGCTTTTAGCACTCCGTTTGAAGCCCTATCAAAACTTGGTTTCACCATAAATTGAGTTCTAAAAACTCGTTTGATTTTCTTTTCTTGTTTGTTTCAAACGAGGGATCGAACCGTTGACTTTTGGGATGGTAAGTTGATAATTGGCAAAAGTCAAATTGAGCGTACCTCATTATATACGTGAGGAAAGAACTAAAACACGAATCACTTCGTCCTTGTTTCTAATGTTCTTTCATTTTGGTTGTTTTTGTTTGAATTAATTATTTTATTCACATAGTTTTTCGGGTTCATTTATGAAAGTTGAATGTTTAAGTTGCATTACGAATCATTATGATATGAAGATGGGATAATAGGTGAAAATAAGATAGTGAAGCAAACACCAGACATGAATTCAAGGTTGATCCATGGCTTAACTAGCAACCTTTTCTGTCACTCGCATATCACGCCTATGGTTAGATATGCTAACACAATTCAAAAGACCGAAAAATTATTAGTTTAGAACGGGCACAACTACCCATTGCACTAGTAGCTCCAAAACCACAAGCTACCCATCAGCGTAGAGGAAACTATGCTCTAAGAGCAAATATTTGAATTTGCATCTCTAAGTTATTCGATGGTTTTTTTGGATTGATATGGCTACTTTTTGGTACCCACTCCACGAGATGATCAATATAATTTGAGTAATTCTTTATGGGATAAAAGTAATTACTCATCATTTTGTCTTAATTCTTTATGGGATACTAGATTTATGAGTAATTCTTTATGGGATAAAAGTATAATGAATCTAACTTTCTAAAATTCTAGACTCATCTAAGTTGGTTATTTGGAGCATGTTGGAATCATTTTAAAGCAAAAGAACAAGAACATGGAAGTAAGAAAGAAATCAATCCTTACCAACAGTTTTGTTCCTCGATGTGTTGTGGGGCTTCTCGGCACTCAACAACGCATGACGCATAATGGGAGGCCTTCAGACATTGTCAGGTGAATCTATGCATGGGGTGGTATGAAATGAAGAGAGGCCTTCAGACGTTGTCTGGTGAATTTATGCATGAGGTGGTATGAAATGAAGAGAGGAACGTCATTGAAAATCTACTATAAAAATTAGTTGGAGTGAGTCAACATTCACCCAAATTGAGAAGAGATAGCTTTGATTCAATGCGGGATTATGAGCATTTGGTAAAGAGGGCAACTTTAGTCTGAGTGTGGAATGAGTAAGTTTGCATAATTTGTAGTGAGTCGCCAACATGTCGAAGAATGAGTCAAACTCGGCTACGTTGATCTTTTTTTCAATCTCTTAAAAAAAAAGCTTTAAATTGTTAGAATTTTGAAAACCCCTATTCATAATAAATATTATTAAAATATATTTGGTAAACCTTTTTTCTCCCTTAAATGTCCCTAAATTCACTAGATTTATCGTCAATCAATTTTAACATTCTAAGATATTAATAAAAAAAATTAAATTGAGATAAAAATAAAATCTTGAAAGAGAGGAACGCTGTTAGGTCCCGAATGGAGTGGATTGTGAGATCTCATATCAGTTGGAGAGAAAAACAAAACATTTCTTATAAGGGCGTGGAAACCTCTCCCTAACATAAGCATTTTAAGAATCTTGAAGGGAAGCTCAAAAGAGAAAACCCAAAGAGGACAATATCTGATAGCGGCAGGCTTGAGCCGTTACAAATGGTATTCGAATCAGACACGGGGCAGTGTGTCAGTGAAAGACACTAAGCCTTGAAAGCGGGTGGACACCGAGTGGTGTGCCAGTGAAGACATTGAACCTCGAAGGAAGGTGGATTGTGAGATTTGGTAATTATTGTGAATCTAACTCATAATAGTTCATTCTCAACCTTAGAGGGGTATTGTGGTCATTTCTTGGTTAAATGACTTGGAAAATATAGTAGAATGGACTCAGATAATGAAAAGTATAGGTTTATGGAAGGATTAGCAGATAATGGAAAGTCGTTCTTGTGGATTACGACTCCAAATATAGTTGTGGGAGATTCAATTTTTTTGTAATCCCGAATCCCGAACTAATTTATGTTTTTTTGTATTTACATTCAAAAAATATTTTATCTTGTATCCTTCAAATAACTTCTTTATTTTGTAACGTGAGTAGATTGTGAAATTTCAATTAAGAATGGAATTTTTTGTATTTAATTTGTTATGAAATATCATTCCATGCATGTGAATTTCAAATTTAGTGGAGAGTAAATTATATTAAATATATATATATATATATATAATATTGTTGAGAAAAAAAAAAGTTATACCTTTGTATAGAAATGAACAGAGATATAATAAAATTTATATAATAGAAAATAAGGGCTATCAAACGTGCATTATAGCATAAGATCAAACCTAGAAAATTTTGAGAGAGTTTAACCCGTTTGGAGGCTTCGTAAATACAGACTCTGACTAATAGACTATGCAAGTAAATATATGAAAACGAGGATAATAAAAATACGGTAAAATTTTGCGCGATTTTAAGTCATTCAACACTATTACTAAATCTAACATAAAAACGTTTACAAAGCATGAGATTTTCAAGTTGTTTACCAAAGAGAGAATGAGATTGGGATACAAAATAAATGCTATGACAAACAATTGTAACGCAGACAACATAGATGTCCCGGGTCGACACCCCTCTATAGCTGCAGAGCTCTTGAGCACTCCCTCACCTCGACTAGTGACATCATTCGCATAGAAAAAAAATGTAGAAAGGGGTGAATATGAAAATATTGAGTAAGCAACCTACTGGGCTCTTATGCTACCTCAATAACCGGGGAAGCTTCGAAGTATCGAGCGGTTTTCTACTCTGTAGCTTACCCCTAAGGGTATGTTTAGGGTGTTATGCCTTTTTGTTCTAAGACTTAGGTAGCTTGCTTTGGATATGTAGTGAACGTTCAGTGTCCTAAATTAAGGCGCTACCTCATACTCTAGTGAGAAGTATGATGTTTGCTAGCTTAAACATCAAGAGCAACCCTGTGTTTACCTTTATGATTCACATCCCCTCTCACGATGAATTCTGCTGCACAGGGTGGAGTATTTGGTTGTCTCAATGCACTACACTATCTTAATAACTAACTTGATGGTACTAGTACACCTACCACCTACCGCTAAGCAGGCGCCACTAACATTAAAGGTACACTGGAGAAGATAGGAGGCGGAGACTCTGGTGACACCATCATACTGTTAGTGACCTAGAGAGCTACCTTAATCATTCTTGAGTGTCATGGTGGTCTACTAGATTCTTAGGGTCGCTAGGGGACTTTGACACGGACTCTCGTCTCCAAGATATTTTGTACTAACTCCTTGAATCTAGCTTAGTCTAGGAGCTCTAGGGTCTTGAACCACTAATTGTCGCTCATGATCTTAAAGTGCTCAGGCAGCTGTCCTGACCTAGGTCTTCATCTAGCCAACCTGCCTCTAACACCCTAGTTTTGTCTCATTGTTGCTACCTATGCTCTATAGCGAGAACACACAATCAATCACCTAAAGCTAACATACAATAAATCAAGCAAATGAATAAACATGCTCAATAGGGAGATAACGTTCATCTATCACCTGGAACACAAATCACAAAATCCTTCTTTCTAGCAAAGCATAAAACTTGGAAATAGCATGCAATACGTAATCTCAACCTAGGGGCAGTTCTATAATTACTACATCAAGTAGGTTATTCTGTTAATTTTATGCTCTAAACACGCCGATTCTATCCACCTAAGGCTGGGTTTGTAAGTATAAATGCTTGTCCAAGCCATCCCTACAAGTAGGTGATAAGCGCCTACACTGCTGGAATTTGCAAATCTAGAGGTCCTTCTAGAATCCTTGCAAAACGTTCACAGAGAAAGCTAACTTAACGGATTGATTCCAACCAAGAGCTGGTTAGAAGATGAATGACTCTTAAATCGAACTTGGAATCTATGATGGTCACTCTTAGATACCAAGACAATTCACTCCAGAATTAGCTTTATCAAGACTAATTCAATGAATCGGTTTAAACATCAAACCTAAAGCAAGGTTTGAAAAAGAATAACACCAGAAGGGTATCAAGAAAACACAAAGGTTTCGTTATTCACTAATACAAATCACTAATAAAAATCACTAATAAATGCTGTTAAATACAAATGGAAGAAAATAAGGCATTCATACACACTATTAATAAATGCTATTAAATACAAATTGAAGAAAATAAGGCATTCATAAATTGTCTTAATTTGTAGTTCAATTACCAATGGCAAGTCTTCTAATCACTTTTCAATGTCAGCGACTCCATTATTTTCTTGATTTGATACTTGAATCTTCTTGTATTGCTTCTTGTAATTGCTCTGTAATTGCTCGTCCGGGTACATGGAAGTGATCAGTTGTTGGATTCATATCATTCCCTCTTTCTTTAAAAGGATTTGTCCTCAAATCAAATTCTTCGTTCTTTCCGAACAAGAATTGAATATTGTTTTTTTTTCCTCACCTTTACCTTAGTTTCTTCTCTCCACTGTTGTTGTTCTTCATATTATTTTCTTTTCTTCTCTAATTTCAATTGGTCACAACGTACTTCATATGGAAACAACTGAAGTAAAGTAAATTTCATCCCGCACAAAGTAAAAGTATACTTGTTCATCAAACCATCAAATGTTACCTTTCTATCATATTATCAAGGTCGGCCGAACAAGATATCCCCTGCATGCATTGGTACAACATCATAAATGACTTCATCTTTATATCTTCCGAGAGTAAAAGAAATAAGAGTTTGGGAGTCCACCTTAATTTCTTCTTTGTTTGTTAACCAATGAAGTTTGTATGGTTTTGGATGAGGATGGACAGAAAGTTGAAGTATTTTTACAAGGAAGCTGCTTACCACATTTGTGCAACTTCCACTATCAATCCCCAAGTTGCATGGGTTTCCTTTTATCAAACATCTTGTGTGGAACAAGTTTTTCCTTTGATCTTCAAATTTCTCTTCCTTGATTTGAACATTGAGTACCCTTCTTGTGATCAAAGATATGGAATTACCTTCTTCAACATACTCATCATCATATGCTGCGGTTTCTTCCACAAGCTATGAATCATGATCCTCACATTCATCATCTGAACCAAGTATACCATTCCTTATCACCACAACTTTTTTATTAACACACTCTTTGCTCATGTGTCCAAACCTTTTGCACTTCCAACATTGAATAGAACTAGACTTCAACGGTACTGTCTTTGAAACTTCATTCTTTTGACAATTGGAACTCTCAGCCTCCACCCTTATAGCAGCCACAAACTTTTCTTTTGGTGACAACGATTCATTTCTATTCACAAAATTATCCTTGTTCCAAGTTTTAGAATTTGAAAAGGTGTTAGTTCGTGATGTGTACATTTTTTAATGCTCTTTTTCTTCCTTCAATTGGTCTTCAATTTTGAGAGCATAATGATACATGTCTTCCAGATATGGTGGTGGATTTCTGTCAACAAGATGAGCAATTTCTCGATTCAAACCTCCAAGGAATCTAGACATGGTATCTTCTTCTCTCTAACATTTGCTCTTTCCATCATAGTCTCCATCTCTTGATAATATTCTGCCACACTTTTTGTTCCTTGCCTCAGATCAAACCTTGCAATTTAATTTTCAATTTTCTAAACATACCTTTTTCGCATGGCTTCTTTAAGTTCTTCCCAAACCTTTTTCTCATGGCTTCTTTAAGTTCTTCCCAAGTCTCTATTGGATCCTCCTTTTTTCTTCTTCTCTCGGATTTGAGATGTTGGTACCAATCACCAGCATGATTGGTAAATTCGGCAATAGCAAGTCTCATCTTCTTATTTTCACTATAGGTGTTGCAATCAAACACATGCTCTATCTTTCTTTCCCATTGCAAGTATGCCTCAGAATCTGCCGTTCCACAAAATGGTGGGATTTTGAGTTTAACTCCTCCATCTCTATCTTCATGTACTCTTTCCATCCTTCTAGGTTGCATAATAGTTGCATGGTTGTTTCTTCCTCTCCATCTTCCTTCAACTTGTCTTTCTTGTACTACAATACCTTCATCTTGTTGTAATGTTCGTTATTGTCTTTGTTGTTGCGCCCTTCTTTCTTGTCTATCTTCCATCATCATTTCCATCCTACCTTGAATTGCTTGAAGAATGGTTGTATTAAGATCTGGTACTGGTGGTACTCCTTCTCTATTATGTGACATTTTGATATCAAGGGGTCTCTCCACACTTCTCACAAAAAATTTCACTCAGGGACTTTTTTTTTTTTTTTTTTGCAATCTTGCTTTAAGCTTGATTTATAACTAATTCAACGATCAATTCTAACAAGGTAAGATACTAAGCTAAGACTAGTATCTCAAGGATCAAGAGCTTGAAAATAAATGATAAGAACCGAATATATATATATATATATCTTTTTTTTCTTTTTTCTTTTTTTTTTTACTACTGATTCTTCTTTCTTTCCTTATTTTATTTTTTTTTGATAATCTAAGAGAGAAAAAAATTGATACAAAAAAAAAATAATAACAATAAAGATATTTCACCTCTAGGCGGCCAAAGAATGTCGACCAAATGCTCTGATACCAAATGATAGCTAACTTAATGGATTGATTCCAACCAAGAGCTTGTTAGAAGATGAATGACTCTTAGATCGAATTTGTAATCTATGATGATCACTCTTAGATACCAAGACAATTCAATCCAGAAGTAGCTTGATCAAAACTAGTTCAATGAATTGGTTTAAACATCAAACCTAAAGCAAGGTTTGAAAAAGAATAACACCAAAAAGGTATCAAGAAAACACAAAGGTTTTGTTTGTATTCAACCATTCATCCCAAATATGAATATTACATGTCTTTAAATAGGTCCAAAAGGTAACCCTAACATAATAAAGTTCAGCCACCAACCACAAATCACTGATAAATGCAATTAAATACATATCGAAGAAATAAGACATTCATAAATTGTCTTAATCGGTAATTCAACTACCAATTGCAAGTCTTCTAATCACTTTCCAATGTCAGCCACTCCATTATTTTCTTGATTTGATACTTGAATCTTCTTTGTATTGCTTATTGTAATTGCTAGTTCAGGTACATGGAAGTGATCAGTTGTTGGATTCATATCAGTAGGGCTCAGGGGAAATCTAAATGGTTACTTACCCTAGTTGGTCAAGTAAGTACGTTGATTGCCTAAAATATAAGACAAGAAAGTGTGACATTTCAATGAATCTATTTGTTGTTACACATTGTGTACATATTGCACGTTACCGTGGAAATTGAAAAAATAACATCTTGTCAAGGTTTATTCAATGATGGGTACCCGAACACTGAAGGGTTTCTAGCGTTGTACTATGAGGACAACAATACTATTTAACGTCGAATGACACAAAAGAAATGAATCAGTTACTCCCTAAGAGCTATTTAACACGAGACATTCTTCCATGAACAACGTTGTTGAGAGGGCGCTCGATATCCTAAAGGGGATATTATATGTATCTGTTCTTTGGAGAAAAAAAATGTATTTTCCCCGTGTAGGTACAATATCGAATAAAAACAATCTACTGGTTGCTGCAAACTCGATAGGTAGAATAATAGTTTCAAATCTATGGTTCGAGAAAGCACCCAATTGTACTAGGTTTAGTGGAGATAACATAAGATGTTATCATATTTTGTTGGGAAATTTATGAAGAAATTTTAACCTAGAAGAAAGGCATAGTGCATACATGGCTATATGCTAGAGAACTAGCGCACTCGCCTTCCCACGCCCTTTGTTGGTTCTCTATGGTATCATCGGCTATTATCATCATTTCTCTTCTGCATTCACGCCTTCCCAGCCTGATACGGCTATCTTTCATAGCCCACTGACGTGAAGATTCCTCCAAATATGCAACCAGGTGATATTCCTCTATACCCTTCCATGCCCGCCATGGCTCCCCTGCCTGTTTCTATGCCCTTACCCGGGACTCTCTTGGTTTCCGACTCCGGACATACCGTCACTGGGAAACGCCGCCGTGAGGACGACCTGATTGTATCCAATTCGGAGGCCGTAGATGTATCGGCTCCCAAGAGACAGGCGAAGGCTCATGACGTGCTTTTCAGAATCATTGTGCCCTCGAAGCAGATCGGGAAGGTTATCGGTAAAGTTGGTTGCCGAATCCAGAAGGTTCGTGAGGAAACCAAAGCTACAATCAAGATTGCCGATGCTGTCGCGGTATTGTTTTTGTATTTGATTTTGAGCGCTTTGGGTTAGGGTTTTCGTTTCGCTTTTCCTTTTTGTCACTCTTTTCCTTTGCTTGGCTATGGAGGAAGTACTAAGAACAAACTTCTTGTTTTTCACTATGTTTAATTTCAGCGGCGATTTTTTTTTTTTCTCTTAACTCTTTTGCTGGTTGTGTTGCATGTCAAACGGTCGTTGTATTGGTGGTGACAATTTGTGCTTTCGATGATATTTCAGCGGTATGAAGAACGTGTTATCATTATAAGTTCCAAGGACTGTGAGAATTCGGTTACTGATGCGGAGAAAGCACTTCAGCATATTGCAGCACTGATACTGAAGGTCATACGTTGCCAATTGTTAACTGTGCCGTAGTGATGATCTATGTATTTTCTTGTGTGATGTTGAGTCTCAATAATATTCTTCTGTTTTTGTTGTGGAAAGGCCAATTTCGAAGAAAATTAAGTTTTTTGTATGACTGGTTTCCTTAGGGAGGTTAAATACTGGACATTGTCCAAGAATCTTCATCCATGGTTTTGGATTCCTACTATAGTCATGCATATTGTGAAGGAAAACGACAGAAAATTTGAACTAAAAAAAGAAAAAAGGAACTAAGAAAGAAAGTAACAAAGAATTGATTCTGAGGTCGGTCTACCATGAAACATCGAAATAGTTTCTGGGGTACATTTGGGATTGATTTAGCTACAGTCAGAGTGTGTGTGGTTAGTTTTAGATGTTTTTTTCCCTTTAAGTTTTTAGTTTTTTAAATACACTGTTATTAGTTCTCTATAAATTGAGACTTTCAGCTTTGTGTTCACACGTCCTCATAATCAAATTTCATTTATTGAGTGACATTTCTGTTTGAGAGCATTAGATTACTCCACAGAGGTTGCATGGGTGAGGATATGCTGGAGGAAGTGCTTGTCAATGACTCTCCCTAGGGAGTCAGGTTCTTTGGCAATGGCTTTATTTTGTTTATTTTGTTTATTTATTTTTCTATTTTATGGAATATTGGCCTCAATAGAGACAAGAATCTTGTTGGGATACATAAAAGTCTTAGAGGAGGTTTGGTCTGTGACAAGTTTAAATGCCTCTCTCTGGGAATTTTTGTTTAAATGAGTGCTGCAATATGCTTTATTTTTTGTTCTCAACAATTAACGCAATCTCCTGTAATTTTTGCTTCATGTTTTGTTTTTGTTCGCTCTTCTGTTCAGAAGTTCATTTCTGTAGGCTATTCCTTTTGTACTTTTGTTTTCCTTAATACAAGCTACAATTTTATATCTATAAAAAGAAAACATTTTCCTTATCTGCAATCTTTGGAAGTGAAACTTCATGAATTTTTCTTTGCTGTATTGACGTGTATAATGGGGTAGTAATGATGGAGGCTACTGGTGTTTTGTACTTCAGAAAATATTGTTATAGACAGCATTGGCAATTTAAAGTTTTCAATCAAAGGTTACATATCCGTTTCTTATTTAACAAAAAAAAATGTTCAATCAAAGGCTGGCATCTCTAGTACACATTTGTCTGCCTTAGAAATTCTGTTCTTTTTCCATATCAGGAAGTTAAATATATAGATGAATATAAAAAGACAACACGTTCATAATGTGTTTTTTCCCCCTTTTGTAAGTAACTATGTGCAATTGAACTAGCTTGAATGTGCACTTTGACAAATCAAACTACCCCTCTAACATCTGATGTTAGGAATTGTAGATATTCGATAACTAAGATAGGCAGCCATCGCATCACTATTTTAGCCTGCAAGTGTGGATTGTGCTCTTTTCCTGAATGACCTGTCCATACTTGATCAATTACATTAGTCTCCTTCTTGAAGTACCGATGTTCGTGTGATAGAATGATAGCTCCTCTTATTTATTGTAGATCATTTTTGAGAATTTTATATCTGCTACATCTTTTAAATTATTTATTTTTTTGATTATACTTTCAAGTCATATTTTTACAGGAGGATGGCACCAGTATTGAGGAACTAAAAGTTGGAACAGGGCATGTGGCTGCTAATACTATTAGGCTCCTAATAGCAGGATCTCAAGCAGGGTCTTTGATTGGTGCCTCGGGTCAAAATATTGAGAAATTGAGGAATTCTTCTGGTGCAACAATTACGATTCTCGCCCCAAATCAATTACCTCTTTGTGCATCTGCTCATGAATCTGACAGAGTGGTGCAAGTGAGTTTTTCCACATTGTCAGAATTTGAAACCTCGTGCATCATTCTTTCTGCCTTTCAATCATGTTCATCACTTTTTGTTTCTGCGAGTAGTGTACTTTGCAACTAATGAGGTGAAAACAATCTTTTGGTTCTACTTTTCTAACTTTTGTTAAATGTTTACCAACGGAAAAGATTGACTTTCATCCATAAAGTGAGCTAACTCGTATTGGATGATAGTGAATATTAATCACACAATACATATTCCTACTTTTGTGGTTTTGTGATGTTTGGTTTTGGCTAATAATATGTGCTGTGTAATCAAGGTTGTCAGGTTAGGAATAGGATTGTGTTGCCTTTCTTTTATATTGTATCATGCTTCTTAAGGAATCATTAATCTTATAATACATAAAACAGCTTGAATATATTCAAGTATAATCAATTTTTATAAACATGGCCATGTGCATGTAATTTTTTTTTTTCGAACGACATATGAAACGTGCATGTGTACCTTCCATCATTTATTAATTTTAATTTAATATAAAAGATCTATAGTTGTTGTATGAAGATTGGGGGCTTGGGACTAGTAAAACTAGAAGCATTGTTGAATTGTCTGTTAGCAATGAGAATACTGTGAGTGGGGTGATTGGCAAATCAATGAATGAAACTTATGTCGGTTTCATTCTTGAAAAGAAAAAATAAGACAAGATCAAGGGTTTTAGACCGATCAACCTCGTAATGATCTTATGTCTTTATAAGATAATTGCGAGGACCTTGGTTGATCACTTGTGAAAGGTCCTTCCTATCACGATTTTAAAATATTTGGGTGCCTTTATTGCAAGAAGACTAATTTTAGATCAGTCTTTGTGGCTAACAAAATCATTGTAGATTATAAGAGGAAGCATAAAGGTGTTACTTTTACCATCGATTATGAGAAAGTCTATGATCATGTGGATTGGGTGTTTCTGGACAAGGTTTTTTTGAAAAAGGGGTTTCAGTATAAGTCGAGGGCTAGGATGATGAGTTGTGAGGAATGACCTACATGCCCAGAGGGAGAAATTTTTCTTCTAGGGACTTATGCAATGTGAGACCTTCTCTCCCCTTTTCTCTTTATACTAGTTGTCAATGTCCTATGTAGGTTGGTCTCTACTGGGGTGGAAAAGGGTTTCCTTGTGGGAAGGAAGAGGCCTCACCTTATGCACCTCAAGTTTGTAGGTGATACTCTTTTCTTTTATTCTGGGAAGTTTCTTCCCTTGTTTCTAGCATGCTTTGAAGCAAGGTCTAATCTAAATATTAACAAAGAAAAGAGCAACAATATTGGCATTAATTGTTGCTACCAGTCAAAATTGAATGCATGAGCATCTTTTGTGAGCTGTGAGGTGAGTACTTTGCCTTCATCATACCTTTCACTTCCTTATGTTCATAACTTAAGGAGTCTCTTTCGGACTTCTTCCCCCCCCCCCCCTCTTTAGATACCCTGTGCCAATTAACAAAAGCTTGGAAAAGATTATTATAGATTTCATGAGCAGGAAGTTGAGGAGGGGGGAGGATCTCATCAAGTCAATTTTGTGGTGGTCTCTAGACATTTGTTGTTTGGGGGTTTGGGTATAGATAGCCTTCGACTAATTAATATGACCTTGTTGGCCAAATGGTTGCCATGTTTCGTTAGGGAGCCTAGGGCTTTGTGGCACAAACTTACTGTGAGCAGGTACAACCCTCGTTCTTTTGAATGGGTATCTGGTAGTAGGCGGATGCGCTCAACCTTTGGACAGATATTGCCTCAGTTTTCCCTTTTTGTTTCTCAATTTCTTAAATGTTGACTGGGGAGGGCTCAGACTCTTATTTTAGAGCTATTTTGGTTTGCTGCCTTCAGAAGGGATTTTTTCTTCTTCAGCCGTCACCTTTGAGTTTGTTGTTGGAAGCTAACCCTTTGTTCCTACTTATGAGGGATATCCTTGTTCTTCAGGGTAGGAGTGTTTCTCATCTTTTGCCCCCTTCTCCTTCCTCGGGCTTCTCTTCTAGTTCTCTTTTTTCTTATTCATTCTCTCTCCTTCGATCATCCCTTCATTTTCTTTGCTCTGGAAGATTAAGTTCTCCAAGAAGGTTAAGTTCTTTGCCTGACAAGTCTTGCATGGAAGAGCGAACACTTTAGACCATGTGCAAAGACATTTTCCCTTATTTTTGGGATTATAGTAGTGCTCCCATCACAAAGGTGCATTAGAGAGTCTTGACCATATCCTTTTGGGTTGCAATTATGCTCAATTGATATGTTCCAAGTTTCAGAATGCGTTTGGAGTCTCATTAGTTTGGAGAAGTAGGGATTGTATGGTTTGGATGGCAGAGGTTTTGTTTTCTCCCCGAAGGATACTTTTCTTTGGCATGCCTGCTTCATTCTTTAGGGGTTTTGGATTGAGAGGATTGTAAGGCTTTTTAGAGGTTCTGATAGACCTTTGGGGGAGTTATCGGAGGTTGTTAGGTCCAATACCTCGTTTAATACCTTGCTTTGGGCCATGATGAGTAAGGTTTTTTGTAATTATCATCTAGGTCTTATCATTTATTGTACTTTTTTTTTTATGGGTTGTTATTTTTATGACCTTATTCATTCTTTCATTTTTCTCAATTAAAACTCGGTTTCTTATAAAACAAAGTATTTGGCCCTTTCACAAAGGGTGAGGTATGGCTGCCAGTGGGAGATGGGGCGGCTGCTGGCTAGAGAGTGAGAGTGAATTGTGGATTGCTTACAGAATCGACTTCCTACTTCAAAATTCAAACTTATTATTACAAGTCAACTGTGCAGAACCTTCTGTAACCAGTGGACTCTGTGCCATGATTTAGAAATTTTGCAAGTTCTCTTCTCGTCTGCAGTTTTTTTCCTACAATATTCACACTTGGTGAATTTTGTAATGCTCAAATTTATAGTTCAGTGCAAGTCAGCTTACTGAAGTGTATGCACCATTGTTTTTAGCCATTTCTGATTCTTCTTTGCAGTCTCTATTGCTCCTTCCCAGTTTGATTTGTATCTATGTTGTCTTATAATGAGATGGAAGTAATAGTTTTGTTGTCGTTCGTACATCTGGATAATATTTCTTGAACACTTCATTCTAGAAGATCTTGTTTCTTATGGAATATTGTGATTTCACTCTGAAATCTATACCAGACTACTACTATTTATAGGTTTTAGCGCCCTTTCTTTGTGAGAACAGGAGTTCCAAGAGGGGCTTGGTTAAGTTACATTATTTCTTTTAAGATTGGGGTACTGCATTGCTGCTTTCTCAGATTTTGCTTTGTTAATGAAGACCCTGTGAAGTAGTAAGGGAATGGAAATTGGTCTTAGCAATGAGAAGGTTGCTCAAATTTTCTGCCTATCATATTCTTCAAGATACAGTTCTTGTTAAGAAATTTAACTTCTAAAATTTACTTGCCAATACTTTTTTAATTTCAAGTTGTTCAATCGTTCCTAAATGTGCATAATGTTTATCAAATCATCTATTGAACTTTATGCAAAATTTCATGCTCATTCTCACATTGCTAGGCTACTTTTTGTGGTGTCTTGTTATCACATCACGTCCCATCTAATCACTTTTTTTGAGATATCTAAGATGGCACTAAGGATTGATTTTGTTTTGATTGGAACTCAGATATCAGGGGATGTTCCTGCAGTTTTGAAGGCTCTTGAGGAGATAGGCAATCAGCTAAGGTCCTATATTGAACAATTTTTGAGAGTTTATTTGATTCACACGCAGTTCTGAAACTTGTACATGAACTACGCATTTTGTGGAGTAAAAGATATAATTGCAGAAGATGACTCTTGAAATCAATCAAATCTTGGCATCCTTTTTTTCTTTCTAATGTTGTATTGATTTGGGGCTGAATTTAATTTCAGGGTAAATCCACCTCGGCAAGTCATTTCTGTTAGCCCAACATATAATTACAATGCAATGCACCCGCCACAGTCATATATTGATCCAACCTCAGGTTATTCAGTGGTTTTCTGTATCAAATAAATCATTTCTGGTTCTGTCTTTTGTGTCTGTGAAGTTTTAATATTTTTTCTTCTAACCACATCATCTTTAGGAAAACCAATCTTGCAGTTAATTATGTAACCTTCGAGATGTTGATATCGGAGACGTTGGTGGGTGGGTTGATCGGGATTGGTGGCTTCAACATATCAAGAATCAGAAATGAATCTGGGGCTACTATCAAGGTCAGAAACCAAGCAGTTTTATTTCACTATGAAAGATCCTGAAATTCAATTCCTATCTATATCCTTACATTATTCTTTACAGGTTTGTGGTGGAAGAGGTGAACAAAATTACAGGCAAATACAATTTGGTGGAAGTGCTGAACAGGCATGACTTTATCTCTTATTTTAAGTTTCATGAACTGACGCTAATTCGTAAATATGCAATTAAACTTGAGTTTAGATAATCATATATTACAGGCATAACTGTTTGGGTTTTATTTCTCTGATTTTGGAAAAGTAAGCTGGGGCTGTTGAAATATTTGAAACTGAAAAAGATATTGTCAAGCACGCCTATATTTCTTCTTTACACGCAATAAATTGTAAGTAAAAAGAAGACATTTGATAATCATAAAAAATAAAAAGATTCTACCGATAAGTTGTAATGGCAAAATCACTGTTACCAAAAGCATATTCATTAAAAATTTAAGATCTAAAAATTTAGTTTTGATAATGATGTATATTTGATAGTGATTACCTAAACATACTTTTTCTAATGGGTATATGGATGTATTCTTAGATGAATGTTCATACGGAATAAATAGTTGTTATAAGAAAGAAATAAATAATTGAATGACTAACAGTTAACACTGATAGTGTATCGGTTTTTGTTCTCCTTTATGTTTCCTTATGTTGTGTTTGTTATTGTTTGTTTTGAATACATTGACCTTGAAGTGACTGATGAAAGATACGAACTGATATAAGAGCAGTATAATTTACCATCTTTTTCAGTTGAGCGTTAAACAATGGAAACAAGCTTTCTTTCTATATATATATATATATATATATTTCTTTTATTTTCTTTTGTTTTCTGGTTAAGGGTCTTCATTTTGAATTTTTATGTGGATGGTTATTAGGTAGCACTGGCAAAGCAAAGGGTTGATGAATATATTTATTCTCAGTTGATACGACAAGCTGGTGTTCAACAGACAGCGTAGGTTTTCCTTCATAACTCTTCATTCTCTCTCTCTCCCCCCCCCCCCCA